TGCACAGCCCTCGCCCCTGCTTCACACTCAGGCCCCTTCGACCGCAGGAAGCTTGCGAGATCACGCAGAGGGCCGCACCCAATTCCCTCGTCGGGCCCAGATCCCCAGGAAGGGCGGGCCGTGGCCACAGGGCCCGCGCACCTGGCAAGGCCGAGCACCTGGGCGGGAAGAGCCTCTCCGGCGGCCCCGCGAGGAGGAGCCGTGTCGTTGGAAGAGCGGTTGGATCTAAGAAGACCCTTAAAACGCTGGTGCTCAGAGAGGGACCCCCCCTGCTTCAAGCGCGGTCTTGGGCTGTGGGTATCCAGGGGCGTGAACAATGTACTCCGTGGACGAATCGGTACTGGCCCCCCCCCCTTTCGCTCTATGCCCATCGTCAAGTGAGTGCCGGACCCAGGTGCATGCCCAGGGCTGAGACGATATAAAAGGTTGGAAATCGGACGGTTTAAATCGCCTTTGGTCACAGATTTTGGCCGGTTGTCGCACCGGTACTGCTGGCTGGGGAGGGCAGGGCGCCATGGGCCAGCGGTGGAGCAGGGACAGCGACGATGGCGAGGAACTGACATCTGGTGTTCGGGTATGTTACAAACCACATGTCCGAGGCAATGTTGGTTCTGGAGTGGCCTGGACCATGTCCTGGCTTCACCACCATCTGTGGCCTGCGCGCAGATCACCAAGGAGCTCCTCGACCAACTAGATGGCAAGGTGGTGCCCGTGCAGGCCCCGCCTCGCCCCAGCGCGTCTCTTGCCGTCAGGTGTGTTGCTGGGCCATGCACATTGCTTGTGGTTTGGTCTTTGCTGCATCTGTTGTGGTGATACATCGACTGTGACCGAGTCTGGATCCACCACCATCCCACCTCGACCACCGTCTCCCACCGTCGCCACCACCTTCTCATGCCTCGCCTTCATCGCAGGCCACCTGCCGAGGATGTCAGGGCAGTGGAGCGGGAGGCCAAGCACGATCAGCAGCTGGCACATGCCCTGGAGCGTAGCCGGCGTGTGGGGCGCCTGCTTCTGAAGACGGAAGAGGCTGAGCTGGGGTCCATCACCCGACTGGCTGACGAGCTCCTTGCCAGCGAGTACAAGTGAGTTGAGGGCAGGAGCACTCGGGCTGCAAGGGGGAGCAAGGTGTCTGTGCTGGCATGTAGTCGTAGCGTTCCTGCTGTATGCTCTGCTGCCTACCTGGAGCAGGGCACAGGAGGTTGGGCCGGGCCCAAGCACGAGGAGGCACAGCAGTGTCATACTACGGGCCTGCCTGCCTGAGTTCTCTACCATCTCATGTACCAAGCTATCTGAACCGTCCTTCCAGTGTCCATTCCCCTCACCTTGACGCCCAGCATCCCTCCCCCTCGCATCACAGCGCGCCCTCAAGGCCCCAGCCATGCAAGGAGGCGGCTGCAGCTGCCACCGCATGCTACGAGGCAAAGACCGCTGATCCCTTGGCATGTGCGCCCGCGGTGGAGGCATACGTGCGATGCAGCCAAAAGGTGTGGGAGGGGCGACAAGCTCCTGTCCCTGCTGCTGCATAAGTTCCCGCTCCTTGTATCTTGCTCTATGCTGCCCACTTTGCTCATATGTTATGACTTCTTACAATCAAAGATAATGGCCGCATGGCATAGACAGCAGAAGTGCGATGAAGCACAGCGATGCTCGCCAAAGCCAAGTGATCTGCAGTGGGAGGACGTGTAGACGAGCTTGTTGTTGTGGTATGTCGGGCTTTGCGGGGCTGCATAGAGGCAAAGTGACAACAGAGAAAAGTGACCGAAGGAAGGTGGACTCAGCCTTAAAATTTAGTAACGTCATTGGTGATCGGATATATGCTTGTCATTAAGGAAGAACATCACCGTCCACCGGGAGCAATTTGGCAATGCGGATGCGAAACTAGTGCACAGCTCACAAAAGGCAGGGGCGTCTTGACCATCAGATAGGAGCGAAAGACAATGCTAGTGTATCCGCAGTGCAGTAGTAGCTGCTCGGATGAACTATGCGTGTATTGGAAATCCTCACGGGTCAGGACGCCGGGATGAGTGGAAGGGGACAGGAAACATGATGATGGGAGGTCTCAGAGAAATCCGCTAATTTTTCTCAGCAGGAGTGGGGACCCGAGGGACCCCTTGCTCAGTGTGTGTAACAATGGATAGAATCACCGACCAGACCATCTTTGGTAGTATGGAATATTTTCACACACAGGAGGGGAATCGGATAGTAATCCATTCGGGGGGAGACAGACAAGCCGTCAGAATGTGTTGGCCAACCAAAACTATTGGTGATATGATACACGCAAGCACCAAGACGCTCTTCGCGATGTCTCACCAGAGCTTGCGGCGAAGTAGGTTGCGGCTGTCACGCCAAGCTGCGCGTTTAGGGAGAACGGGAGGGGAGCCGGCACTGATGAGAGAGGAAACGTCAGACAGGAGAGCGACTGCAGCGGTTACAGCAAGATGAATGGTGTCAAGGGGAGAGATAGAGTAGTAAGGGATGCAAGTGTGAGAGAATCAGCGCCCGACCGTCGGACTATAAAGGAGGCGGAGCAGTGTGGTCCGCCCCCTCCTCGGCTGGTACTGCACCACTGACTGAAAATTGGGTACTGGATGGGCATGGTCCCCTTCAATGTTGCACACGAAGCGATTTTCACGCCAACAAGATACTTCTTGAGGCGCTCATCCTTTAAAGGTGTATTTTAAGCGCCCTCGAAGGTGTACAGCGCATTTTGACTGGCCATCGTACCTCCGGTGGACTACCATGGTCCGCCAGGCGTTGACACTGGGAGGACGCCTGGCGCGTGCTCCCCGGATGTACGTAGACGCCCATCAATCACCTGCATGGCTGCAAAGTTACCTGAGCGACCAGGTGTGGTACTCTGGGTCTACTCGAGGCAGGGCAGCTGCGCGGAAACCCTCTGCGATGTGATCTGCGGGCTTCCCGGTGGCAGCACCCACGTACCCCAGCGTCCTTTCCTCCCCGCAATTCAGGTCGATACCCCTCAGAGCACACGTGGGTACGCCTGCGTCGGCTCGATGCACCCCGGTGATTGCCCCTGCGCTGCGTGCCGGTCCACCCAGGTGTGCTCTCTGGGGTGGATGGGTGGATGCCTGGCATACATCACCGCCACGTGCACCACAGCTGCGCGCTGGTGGCTCAAACATGTTGTGTGGTAGGAGCATCCTGTCGGTGGCCTCTTTGTTTCCTTGTTACCAGCTGGCATGGGGTCTGCCAGGGCATCCCTGGCCCAATGCGCTTCCTTTCGGCCCTCAACACATACGCCCACTCACCTGCCCACCATCCCTCGGGCCCCCCTCCACTTCCACAGGCCCCAGCGCTTGGCCGGACGCGCGGCATCTGCAGCAGTGCCCCCGCTGCGGCCCCGCCCCCCCGCCGCTCTGTCTCGCAGTACAACCCCGAGTTCCGGCGCAACGTCCGCGCCGTCTCCGCCACCTTCCCCCACCTGCCACCCCCCGCGAGCGGCGCGCCGGACCCCGGCCCCACCCCCGCGGGCGCGGTGCCCTCCTACGGCGGCCGCTCGCCCGACGGCACGGTGGCGGGCCGGCGCTGGTCGGGGGACACGGTGCCGCGACCCCGGGAGCTGGTCGCCGCCCTGGACGCCTACGTTGTGGGCCAGGCCCAGGCCAAGAAGGTGCTGGCGGTGGCGGTGCACAACCACTACAAGCGCCTGGCGCATGAGCGCCGCGCGCGCGAGCGCGCCGCCCTGGCGGCCATCGAGGAGGCCGAGGCCCCCGCTGGCGGCGCTGGCCCCGGCCCGGGGGGGCGCGTCGCGGGCGTCCCCGGCGGTGGCGGCACGAACCCCGACCTGGAGCAGGCCTACCGCATCAACCTCCTGCGCCGTCCTGAGCACGGCGGCGGCCCCGGCGGGGAGGGGCCCCCCGCGCACGGCATGACACCCCCCGGTCGCGCCCACCCGCGCCGCGCTCCTGCGCAGCCTGTCCGGCCTGGAGCCGGGCCACCTGGGCGGGGCGGCGGCGGGGGCCGCGTTCAACGCGCCCCCCCCACCGCCGCCGCTCCCCGCCGACCACGTGGAGCTGGACAAGTCCAACGTGCTCATCCTGGGGCCCTCGGGCTGCGGCAAGACGCTGCTGGCGCGGACGCTGGCGCGGCTGGTCGACGTGCCCTTCGCCATGGCCGACGCCACGACGCTGACGCAGGCGGGGTACGTGGGCGAGGACGTGGAGAGCATCCTGCACAAGCTGTACCAGGCGTCGGGGTTCGACGTGGCCGCCGCCCAGACCGGCATCGTGTACATCGACGAGGTCGACAAGATCACGCGGCGCGCGGAGGGGGTGACGGTGACTCGTGACGTGAGCGGGGAGGGCGTCCAGCAGGCCCTCCTCCGCATGCTGGAGGGCAGCGTGGTCAACGTCCCGGAGAAGGGCGGGCGCAAGAACCCGCGCGGCGACACGGTGCAAATCGACACCAGCGACGTGCTGTTCATCTGCGGCGGCGCCTTTGTGGGCCTGGACCGCCAGATCGGCGAGCGCCTGGCGGCCGCCTCCATCGGCTTCGGCGCGCACGTGCGCGCGCGCGAGGGCGCCCACGGCGCCGGCCGGCATGGGGGCCAGTCGGCGGCGGCCGCCGCCGCGCTGGCCGCCGTGGAGCAGCGCGACCTCATCCACTACGGCCTCATCCCGGAGTTCGTCGGCCGCTTCCCCGTCGTCTCCGCGCTCCAGGCGCTGACCGAGGCGGAGCTGGCGCGCGTGCTCACCGAGCCGCGCTCCGCCCTCGTCCGCCAGTACGACAGGATGCTGGCCGCCTCGGGCGCGGGGTTCGCGGTCACGCCAGCGGGCATCGCGGCGTTGGCCCGCGAGGCGGCCGGCCGCGGCGTCGGCGCGCGCGGCCTGCGCTCCATCATGGAGCGCCTGCTCCTGGAGGCCATGTTTGACGCGCCGGAGCCGGAGGTGGACGGCGTCCTCGTGGACGCCGACGCCGACCAGGCCGTGGTGCACGTCTGCCGCGGCGCGGGCGCCCTTACCGCCGCGCTGGAGGCGCGGGGCCTGCGCGCGGGTGCCGGCGGCGTGGCGCAGCCCCTGCGCTCCGAGCACGAGCGCGACCCCGAGCCCAGGGCCGTCTTCGCCTCGTGAGCGGGCTCAAAGTGGGGAGTGGTAGAGGGGGGGGGAATGGAACAGCCGGTGCAGCAGCCAAAAGGGATCTCTTCCCGGGGCTTGCATCCAGCCCAAGCAGCATGCGGAGCGGCAGACCGGCCCCTTTCCCCTCGACCCCATGGGCCCTGGGTTGGCGGAGGAGTAGCGTCGCATGCCCTGCATGTTCGATCGTCACCTGGCTCCAGAGTTCCCCCCCAAATTCCCCCTTCCCATTGTGTGCATTCCTGTACGATGATGATGCTTCCCGCTCTGAAGAGCGGGCGGCGTGTCCTTCACCTCACCAGCCAGCATTGCCATGGCAGCGATGCCATGCGCTTGCTCCTGTACCATCCCCATCAGCTCGCTGCCATCCTGTTGTACACCGCTGATGCATCACTGTTGCTGCCATGTTCAGAAAGCATGCCGCTCCGTGCAGGTTGCCTGCCTCCTAGAGGGGCGGCACTGTCCCATGTAATGCAGCCCAGAGCATGCACCATTGACCAGAGGGAGGGGGGACGGCCTGGCTTGCAACGCGAGGACCTTCGAGTCGCCGATCCTCCACACTCAGCCGACCAGCTGCCACACCGGCCGACTGACCAGGCGCTTCACCTGCGCTTGGAGCCTCGCCTGAGGGGCACGGGCGTCTTGGCCTGCCGGCCCTTGAGGCCCTCCCACGCCGGCCGGGTCCGCTCCAGCTCCGCCTTGGCCGCGATTTCTTCCCGGTTCTGGGCCCTGCGCCGCGCGTCGTCCATCAGCCGCGACACGAAGCGGTCCCGCTCCTCGGCGCTGAGCAGGCGCGGGGCCCGGGCGTAGAGCTCCGCCTGCAGCGCGGCGGCGCGCTGCGCACGCTGTGCCATGTCGTCGCGCATGCTCCTCACGAAGCGCTGCGCCCTGGACAGCCTGTGCGGGGTGAGGTGGTGGGTGGGTGGGTGGGACGCTTGGAGGTTGGAAGGGGCGGAGGTGTGAGAGGCAGGTGATCTGCGAGGGAGCTGTGCCGCCCCTCGCGGCGATGGCCCGCTCAGCGCCGCGTCGGGTAACTTGTCCCCCACTACGTAGATGCCAGGTACCCCAGCTCTCCCCCTGTGCCCCACTCCCCCTCTCCTCTGCTAGGCACCTGTACAGGAGCAGGATCTTATGAGGCCCTGAGGCCTGGAGGACCATGCCCAGCTCGTCGCGTCGGCACCCCGCCAGGTCATCCAGGAGGGCATCCCAGGGGGAATCCGCGTGCGCTGCTCCACCAGCAATCGCCCCACGCCCGGCACCGGCATCGAGGGACATAGCCCGGCCCTCGCCGGCGCCCAGCGCCTCCTGCACCAGCCCATCCACCCGCTGCTCAAGCTGGCGGGCTGCGGCGCTGCCCTCCGCGCTTTCCACTTCAACGGCGGGCCAGCCCAGCCCGGACAGCATGGCCCGGGCAGTGGCGAGGTCGCGGGCTGCCGCCGCCGCTGCCGCCGCCTCCCCGCCGTCCTCCTTCCAGCGCTGGACGGCTGCCGCACGCCGCGCCGCGCGCCGCGACATGTCGCTTGAATACCGCCTTGCGAAGCGTGCACAGCGCAGCGCATCCGACAGGCGGGCAGCGGCGGCGGGCGCGGCCTCGCATCGCTCCACCGCGACCACCGCGGCGGAGGGCAGCGGGGGGTGCAGGGCCTCGGCTGCGCGGCGCAGCGTAGCTAAGAGAGGCTGCGAGGGGGAGGGGTTTGCCAATGCAGCCGCCAGGACTGGGTCGACCGCCTCCAGCTCCGACCTTTTGGGGGGGTAGGATTGGAATGAGATGGGCTGATCTGTGGGGGCCAAGGGTCTGTGCTGGTATTAAAGAGAACAAGTTCATGCATGTGAGCATGGGCTTGGGGGGAGAGCAGCTCCTAAATGGGCAGAGACCCACGAGTACACCTGCTGCGGCGGGAAAAGAAGCCCACATTGCCACACTGCCAGTCACAAATATACACTCTGGATCAGACTCTCACTACACCTGATCAGGCCCAGGTCTCGCCACAGCTTCATGGCTTCGCGGCTCCCCAGGATGGGAGCTGCCAGGCCCCCCTCCTTGCCTTCATGGCTGCTCTCCACCTCCGGTTTCAGGCCGTCCCTGGTCTCGGCAGCAGCCTGGCTCAGCAGTGTCAGACACGCCTTGACTTCCTGCTGAGTATAAGAGAATCATGAAGAAGGGGCGGAGCAGTTCAATACTAGCTCGGAAAGAATCTAGTGCCTGCAAGGCTCGGTGAGTTGCGCCATGCAAAGGTCATCGAAATCCAACTCAAACGTCACCAGTCCAATTGTGCCGGGTGCTCACTCCAGCAGAATGGCTTTGAAAGTGGTGTGCTTCTACCAGAACTCGTCCAACCTCACATCGTTGCCTCCCAGATTCCCCTCCCAATACCAACTCAGCACCACTGAGGCCCCCCTTTGACCCACGCCCACTCAGCCCACCCACCTCCCCAGTCGGCGGGACTGCCAGGTCCATGCCAGGTCCCACGGCGGCCAGGCCCAGTGCCGATCCTTGCTTGCTCAGCCCCACAGAGCCAGCCGCCAGCTGGCAGTCCAGGGCAGCGATCCGCGCCTCCAGCCGGCGCACCTCGTCGCTTGCCAGTTCGACGCTGTGCTGAGCGTGCTGTGCCGTGGCGGCCCGGTGCGCCTGTCGGGCACCCGCCCTCTCAAGCGCCCTGGCCAGCCTGGCACGCTGGGCATGCACCCTCATCAGGCTGGAGGCTGCCGCTGGCTGGACAGGGCCGCCGATGGGTGAGGCGGGGCGGGTTTCGGCCAGGGCTCCTCCCCTGAGCTCGTCCCGGGCACGGAGGATGGCGTGGCGATGGCCCAGCGACCCTATCCCCAGGTCCTCCTGCAGCGATATCATGTAATGAAGGGATTAGCAGGAGCCATGGGTTGACATGGCCAGTTGACGTGGATCAGCAGATTAGGCGTAAGATGACCATCGTCAACCTCTGTGTCACTGCAGCACCCACTACATCAACCCAGCAACCCTCCCCAGAGCACCTTGAGGTGTGCCGCCGTCATTCCCAGCAGGAGCCTGCCGTCCACAGCATGATGCACGAAGCGTTTACGGTACTGGCCCAGCCCTATGCTCTCCAGCCAGGTACAAGCGTCCTGTATGCTCCAGCTGGCTACATTGCGGCCGGGCTTGCCATCCCTACTTCCATCTCTGGGTGTCGAGTCCCGAATGACCCTGAATTGTGTTAAGCATGTGGGCTGAAGGCTTAGATGCGCTCAGACCTTGCAATGACATGTCCATGGGCATTGCCCTGTACCAGTATGTGGGCCTCGCATATTCAGTAAAGGCGCATTCTAGTAGGTATGAAATTCTTCCTGGTCATGTCTCAGCAGATCCAGCACGGCACACACAGCCCCAAGGCACATTCCGAGGGGGCATGTGGAATAACCTCCTGAGTGTCCTGCCCCGAGTCCTGAAAATCATGCCACTTGCCTGCGGCACAGGGTCTCTGCGGGTGGAGCTGCCTCCGCAGACCCTCTGCAGCGCACAGCTTTTACGCGCTGTATGCACACTGGAGGGCAGCTTCCCCTGTCCCGTTCTTGTGGCCAGTGCGACCGTGTATGTGGCGAGGGCAGACCAGGCGGCAGGCCTCCTCCACCAGCATCGGTATTGCCCACGCAAGATGGCCCTTTCCATGATCTACTGGAGGCCTTGCAGGCCACCTCCGCCTCCACCTCCTTGGAGGTGCTGGGGAGCTCCAGGTGAGGACTGGCCTCCCTCCAGGCGGGAATCGTACCCCTCTGGCTCCCACTGGCGGCCCTGTGAATCAGCACAGACCCAGCGGCGTCAGCAGAGCTGGTGGGCGATGTGGGCGCCAGGTCTTGAGACGAGGAGCCCCGGGGCATGTGAAGGCGGAGGGGAGGCACCCCAGGCCGTTGAAAGGGCTTGAGGCGGGTTCCATCAAACAGAGGGGTGTCGTCCTCGAGATCCAGCATGCCCTCACAAGGGGTTCCGGCTGGACATGTGAGACACACTGACTTCCGCCACTCGACTTCAGGGATCGCAGATCAGAGCATAGGATGTATGTGATGACGTGATACATAACGCAGATGTCCAGCCAACGCATGTTGCGTGTTTGGAGTCCAGGCAGAAGGAATTTGATTCTCCGGGACGACCCACCCACGTGGTCAGGACCAAGGCGAGGCCATTGGCATGACTTCCGGGTCACTGCTGAACTCAGACGACGATGTAAGAGACCCAGAGAGCGGAGAATAAATATTATCTTGTCTTCGCCACAATAAACCTTGCAAGGAACTGCCGTGTGCGCCAACCGACCCGCGTGAAGTTCCCGGGATGCTGTCGGAGGAGGAGCCTACCCACTCTTTCAAGGTTCGCTCTCCGCGAACTTAGCGATACACTAGGCTTGGAGTTGTGCTATTCTTTTTAATCGCTCCACTTCTTCCCAACAGATACTCCTCGTGGGCGACAGCAGCGTGGGCAAGTCCTCCTTACTGGTTCGTTTCACCACTGGTGGTTTTGAGGAGCTCGTCCCCACTATTGGTGAGCATGGTTTCGGACCCAAGGACATGGGAGCGATGCAGCGTTTGGCTGCTCTGCACTGGCATCTCCTCCAGGGCGATGTCCTGCATCGGTTGGCACCCGCTCCACTCACCTAGCCATGCCCTTCCTCCTGAGCCCCCAGCTCCCTAAAAAACTCTCATCGACTGGCAGGTGTGGACTTCAAGGCAAAGGTTGTGGAATTGAATGGAGAGAAGATCAAGCTGTCCATCTGGGACACGGCCGGCCAAGAACGTTTCAGGACGCTGACCAGCTGTGCGTCCTTCCTGGCCGGGCTGAGGGGACGGGTATTGCCTTTGCCATTCGTTGCCCCTGCTGTGCATCATGTTGCAAGCCTATCCCCATCCCCCTCGTCCCCTGCTGCTGCTGCAGCATACTACAGGGGCGCCCAGGGAATCATCTTGGTGTACGATGTGACTCGAAGGGAGACATTTGAGAGTCTTGAGGAGGTCTGGCTGCGGGAGGTCGACATGTATGCCACGGTGGAGGATGCGGTGAAGATGGTGGTCGCCAACAAGACGGACTTGGTGGGTTGTTGGGTGGGGAGCCGGGTGCTTGTGTATTTTAATGTTGGTCCAGGGGCTTTGTGCGGTGTGTATGGCTGCTCATGGTGCAACCAGCCCCATTGACTCTCCAAACTGACACGAGCACCCCCCTGAGCCCTGGGACCCGCTTGCTTGCATGTGCCCTTGCAGGAGGAAGAGCGCCAGGTCAGCAGAAAGGACGGCATTAACTTTGCACGGAAGCACGGCGCGCTCTTGGTGGAGACCAGTGCCAAGGGCAACATCGCAGTGGATCAGGCATTCGAGGAGTTGGTGCTGAAGATCTTGGAGACGCCAACCCTGCTCGCAGGGACGAGTTCCAACTTTGGGCTGAAGCCCAAGGCCGCCCAGCAGCAGCGGGCGTCCAGCTGTTGCTAGATTGCCTGGCCATCGCTGGCCGTCTTGAACATGAGGTGCCCAGACCCCGGCACAGCAGGCTTGTGTGCATGGGTATGAAGACGAAGCCTTGTTCAAACCAATCTCTGGAGCCTTATTTGTCATCGCTATGAATAAAACTTACCGTCAGTGCCACCGCATGCCACAGTACTGCAATTGCAGACGCAAGAAGAATACGAAACCAATGTGGAAGGGCAAGGTGGCAAGCAGGGTCCGCCCCGTGACGGGGATCGCAAGGTAACATGGTCATTGCAACATGAGGAAGGGTATCTTGCAATCTGAATCGAATGCCGTGGTAGTGGCAGACGACTGCAACTTGGGTCCCCACTGGGCAGCCTCATCAACATGTTCCAGAGAGGACTCGCGGGTGGAAAAACCTTAAGAAGTCCCTTCAGCCTCCCGGGGCTGCCTGCCTGCCTCCTGCTGCTCTGGTGCGCTCCCCGCCGCCTGTGGCTCCAGGCCAGGGCAGCCCGCCTTCTGCTCCGGCTCTGTGGTCCTGCCCTGATCGGGGCCCCGTGGTATGGGCTCCGCCCGCACCTCCGCCAGCAAGCGCCGCAGCAGCGCCCTCCGGTCCTCATCCTCGGCGCCGGCCCAGTGGTAGAACGGCACCGACACCACCCGCCAGCCGCGGGCGTGGAGCAGCGTGCGCCTGCGTGGGGAGAACATGAGAGTACGCTCAGGGTGGCAGGAGAGAGCAGCACAAGGGTGACGCCTTGGTGCGCTGGGGCCATGGCTGCCAGCCCCTCCTGCTATCACAGTGTGCACCGGGTGGCAGCCACCAGTCATAGTCGAGCCCCGGTGCCAGGCTCACGGCCCCTCACCTCCAATACATGTCCGCCAGGGGTTGCAGCGTGTTTGCCGTGAAGTGATGGGGTCCGTCGGCCTCCAGTGCAATCTTCTCATCCGACAGCGCGATATCGACTGAAGGTGATCATGTGAGGGGGCACGTGGGGGGGGAGGCAGTGAGGGCGCCGGGCTGTCCGCTGGCGGTGCATCTGAGGACAGGGAACCCTTGTGGTAAAACTACGGCACATTCATTCGTGCTGCTCCCCAACCCCAGCGCACCAGAGAAGAGGCGGTCTTCTGTGAGATGCTCAAACTCGTGATTGATGCCCATGCTGGACAGCATGCGGGACACCTCGCTGTGGAACTCCGATATGCTGTGGATGGAGGAGGGGGAGGGGGGGGGGGGGGGTGGGCGATCAGCACTGTCCAAAGCCTGCCGATGCAGAACACCAGCCACCACAGCAAGATCACGCCTATTCCACCACCCCTGCTGAGTACGCACGTGACATTCTTGGTGTTGCTGAGCCAAGACTTGCGGCCGCCCATTCGGAGCTCGTCTGGGATGTCCCATTTCCCATCCGGCTTGGTGACTTGCATGAGCATCAGGGCTTGGAACACCTGCAGTCCAAACAGGCGAGGACAGGGCCGGCGCGGCCGCTCAGGACAGGTATGGCTGTCTGTCCGCGTCGCAGGCTCGCTCAGCTGCGTGCACACACCACGCACCCCTTCCCCACCCCCCTGGCCCCGCACCTGGGACAGCGCCTCGTCTGGGATCTCAGAGGTGGGCATGCCCAAGACATCGGGCCGCAGGGCCTCGATGAACAGGTCCCATGCCTCCTCATCCAACGCCTCCAGCACGGCCAAGGACCAGGTCATGCTGCGAGTGAGGAGGGCAAAGGAAGGGATGAATGCATGCAGCAAGGGTTTGATGAACGGGGAAAGAATGATCCAGAACTTGTTTGGGACAGGGCGGGATGAAGCCATTTCTGAGAGCCCCGTCCTACTTGGAAATCTGCTGCAGGTTGAAGGTGTCGGTCTGGAGCCGGTGCTTCACCTCTGCAGGGTGGGTTGGGGCGGAGCCACTGGGTGTCAGGCACGGCTGCAATGTTTGAAAGTGCAAGCTCAGCAGATGGCGACTTTAGCGGGCAGCCACCTGGAAGAAAGCCTCGCTGGACACACCACAACACCCGTGTACCTTGGGTCATGACGGTCTGGAAGGCTGGCACCGTGAATTTGAGGGTTGCATATGCCCACAGCAAACTGTTGTGGGGGTGTGGATTCAAAATTCAGAGGCTGGACTGTACTTGTCAGGTGGCAATTTCTGCTTTGGTCAACGGACATCCTCAACCATTCCACCAAGCACCCACACAAGCACATCAGATGCTCCACAACCACCCACTTGGATAGATGCTGCAAGCTGAGATCTTGCTTGATCTCGATGGAGCGCTCTGTTCCGGGGGCAGGTGAGGAGGAGCACGTGATCTTGGGTGTAGCATGACACTCCCTCATGCTGGGAGGCAGGCCAGGTACCGCAGGGCATAAACCACCCTGCGTGCTGATTGTCAATGGCAAGTGTAGCCCAGCCTGACATACACGGTGCCCGCCACTCACGTGCAATTGCTCGCATGAGGTCATCATCCTGGTAGGTGCACTTGGCAAATGACCATGCCTGCACGAGCAGGCAATGCTTGGGTTGAAGACATTCTGTTTAATCAGGGAGGAAGCTGCACCACTCCCACCTCACAGTCATAGTTTGAACAGGGCAAGCATACACAAGCAGCTGGTGACGATTCCCGCGCAAACACCCGTCTCACCAGGTTGCTCAGGTTCTGAGAGGTGTACTCCTGGATGCGAGCAGTAGACTCGGTAGCAACTTTGGCCATGAGGGGAGCACAGTAGGCGCCTGGGAGCAGGGAGGTGTGGATGGAGCAAAGGGTGGAGGGAAAGTACACATTTATCCCATCAGTATTTGTTGCATGGCCTCTGACCCAACGCACTTGCATTTTATTGTGGAGATCCCAGGGGTGAGCCTGATGTCTTCCATGAATGAGCACTCTTCTCAAAACCCACTGCCGCACCCCAAACCTCACCAAGCTTGGCAAAGCCCCACACAGTGTTTGCCATCTCCTGGCCAGAGCAGCTCTCCACACGCATGGACTGGGCCAGGCCCAGAGTTTCCATGACCTTCCTGCCGGGATCGTAGCCCAGGGTCGCAATGGCCCAGATCTGGCATGTGAGTTGGTCGGCAGTGACTTGACAGGTGGAATGTGGGGACCATACTAGGTAGGAGCAGGGCCGATTGAGGCCTCGGCATGCGGTGGATCACCCAGACGCCCACCCCTCGAGCTCTGCACATCCACGCAGGTGGCAGACATGCCCTAAAGGTACAGATGCGTTCTCCAATTCCCCGTAAAGTGCATGGAACCATCTGTCGTCGTGCGACCCACCCCTCGCACCGTGTTTGACAGGTGCTGACGCGAGTAGGTTGTCGCCAGCTTGGCATCGGTCAGGCGGCGGTATGTCTCCCGACACAGCTCCACCGTCATCGGCTGTCATGGTGGAAGGAGGAGGAGGGGTAGATATTGAGGTAGGACTCCCCCATCATACATTGTGCCTGGCAAGGCTTTCCCACTGTCCTGATTTCCTGGATTCCGGTCGGCCCCTCCCAGGCAGTGCGCCACAGCCTCCCTGCGCTGGTGCCAAGCAAGGTCATCCCACTCACCTTGTGCAGCTCTTTGACGGGCTCAAAGTTGTAGAGGGTTGCCAGGGCCCACACAGTGTTGGAGAGGTTTTGCGGGGAGAACTCCTCCAGCTGCCGCAGGACCTGGGGCGACAGCGCCTGTGATCAACGAGGGGGAGGCTGGTGATGAGGGGTCAAATATGCTTGGGCTGGAGGCTACCACCGTCTTCCATGGCCAGATGCTCATAATTCTCCAGCTCCCACAGCCCTGAGATCAGGCTGTTGAGGTGGAGCATAAAACCCACACCAAAGGCGTCACCTGGATGAAGGCAGGGTCGGGACACACCCCCAGCGCAGCAAAGGACCACAGGATCTGGAAGGGGGATGGAAGGATCGAAGTGAGCCCTTCGCATGCAATCCGACCGGAGGGTGTCCTCCCAAGTCCAAACCTTTTGCAAATCCTCCATTTCAACACCAGAACTCACATTGGCCATAGTCTGGGGCTGCAGCGTGTGAATGATGCGCAGCGCATGCAGAGTGCCTGCACAGGAACGTGTGTGTGGATGTCGGTGGCTCCAAGGCGAGTGAGTGGTGAGAGGATGCCGCCATGGGAACCTGATGTGACAGACGTCCTTCCAACCTGGCACTCCACATTGTGGACAGAAACTCTGAACCATTCTGTTAAGCCGGTGGCAATGGTTATGCCCTTCCTTGGGTTCCACTGATATGCGGCACCACGGCAAGGTGGTTTCTCAACTACCCATTCTCCACCCATGCAAGGTCTGGCGGGGATTGATGGGCGGCATGGACAAAGGTGGACTTACCCAGGTCAAACAGCTCCTTGTGGTACGTCTCCAGCTTTGCAAACGCCCAGAGCGTGCTGCACAATGAGGGTTTGATTAGGGAGGGTCCCACCAATGCCTGATGGAATGTCTTTGTGGAGATACACCTCCACAATCCCCCTCTGCTGCTCGTGATATCTATTTAAGACATGCAGCGGCAGGGCTCAGCATCCTGAATATGTCATGGTTGCCTAGCTGTGCCACAAACCTCTTCAACCCCCCCTCCTCATTGCTCACTTGGACAGGTTCTGGGGTGAGAACTCGGGCAGGCGATGGATGGCAGCCCCCGCGATGTCAGTGAGGAGGTCAGGCCCGGGGTTGATGCCCAGGTTTGCAAACGCCCAGATGGTGTTGGCCAGGTTCTGGCAGTTGAACTCCCATATGTGCTTCCGGACCTCCGCACCGATGGCCTCCAGCAGCTGGTGGTCCTCGATCTCCAGCTTGCTCAGCGCCCAGAGGGAGTTGGACATGGCCTGTTTTGGGAAGGAGGGGGCTCCGCTCGGTGACATGATGATGAAAATTCACAAAAAGATGACGTTGGACGGAGGGACAGCAGCTGGGGACCCGCTCCTCTGCAGCTTCACTCATAACCCTAGGTACCCTGAGCGTATCCATTCGCAGGTCTCACCTGGGGAGAGAACGTGGAGATCTTGGTCGCGGTTTCCTTGGCCAAGGCCGTCACCACCTCTGGGCCTGGGTTGTACTCCAGCTTGGCATATGACAGCAGTGTGTTGCTGCAGGGCAGGTGAAGATGGAGCGATGGATGCGGTGAGCGGGATCATGGTGGAGGGTCATTGCCAGGGGCAAACGCAGGTGGGCATTTTCTTGTTGGACAGTCAACAGGGCCCTCCTCCGTCTTGTATCATCATGTGTCTTGCCCCTCTCGGCTCCAACCACGCCGCCTGGGCCCCGATAAATACCTGCACGGACATTTAAAAACACACCTTATGTTCTGGGCCGTGAACTCTGGGAGCTTGGCCAGCACCGTCTCGGTCAGGGCGGCCAACACAGCATTGCCAGGGTGATACCCTGTGGCATGGCGGCGCATGGGTCAGGGGTGGGGTGAGGAGAACGAGGGGCCGACAGTATGAAGAGCATGTGTGAGTATGTGCAACTGAAGTTGGGCAGTCAGACCCCTGCTCTCTACCTAGGGTTGCAAACGCCCACAGGGAGCTGTGGATGGGAAGCGAAGGTGGGAGGTTGGTGCTGGCGCACAGTTCGAGAGCCAGGACGGTGAACTGTAAAGTATCGCGTCTCCCAGGTCTCCATCCTGCATGTGACACACCCATTCCAAAGACCCCCTGGAGGCACCGCATCCACCGCCCCCATTCCAAAGACCCCCTGGAGGCACCGCATCCACCGCCCCACAGCAGACCAAGACCCCCCCCCCCCCCACCCCTGGAGGTCTCACTTGGCCGTGTTCTGGGAGTTCCCGTCCCCCGCTTTCTTCGAGTTCTCCTCCGCATACGCCTGCATGAACTCCTCGCCTGGGTGGTGGTTCATCTTGGCCAGGGACCACAGCGTGTTGGAGATGTTGCGGCAGGAGCTCTCCGTCTTGCGTTGCACTGCAGTATGGCGGGCGCACAGGGGGCGGCGTCACCCCCGTGTGTATCCATTGCGCGACGCGAGTGTGCGGGGCTCAACCTCGTAGGTCAGCACCGTCAGCCACATGCCAGACCACGCCTCCACTCCAAGCCCGACCTGCCCGGCCAGCGATCTCAGGGCCCAGCCCCTGCGGCCTTTCCCCCCTTCCCTTCCCAGCCCCGCCCCGCGCACGCATGAGGGCCTTGAGCTTGTGGAAGGCCGGCGAGGTGACGATCTGGGAGTGCAGGTTGGGGGCGCCGCGCATGTTTGCCAGCTTGTGCATGGCCGTGGCCAGGCAGATGGTGTCGAAGCGGTCCGACTTGGTCTGCACGATGTCCAGGATGGCGCCGGCGTCTCGCGCGCCCGTCATGCGCTTGTTGATCTCGATGGCCGCCATGGCTGCCGGGTCCAGCGTCCGCCGGGGACCGCCGCCGCCGCCCCGGCCCCCGCCGCCCCCGCTCCGACCTCCTCCGCGCCCCTGGCCGGGGGGCTGGAGCCCCGTCGACTGGCCGCGCGGGGGGTGGCCGGGGTACGAAGGGGCCTGCCCCTGTGCGTACCCCTGCGACTGGGGCTGGTCCAGGAAGTGGGGGGCGGGCGGACCGAACTGGCCCGGCGGGAAGGGGGGCATGTGGTGGTGGGGGGGGGGGGGAGGGAGGGGGAGGAAGAAGGGGAGGGGGGGATGAGGGTGCGGGTAGTAGGCCATGGGCTGGTGGTACTGCGGGGGCCCGGGCATGCCGCCAATGGGGCCGCCCGCGCCGGGGCCAGACAGGTATGCGCCGGCGTGCGGCGCAGGCTGAGTGGGCGTCCCCGGGGGGGGCACGGCGGAGTGTGTGCCTGGATTGGGTGTGTGTTGGTGTTTGTTCAGGCCACGGATTGGGCGCTAGGGAAGCCGGGCATGGGGGAATGGCACAAGGTCGGGAAACCGATGGCAGCAGGGCGACCTGCTTTGATGGGCTACAGCATATTGACAACATGCTGATAGAGGCGTCTCCGCACCCAGAAGCCTTCGAGCCCACACACACTGACCGCCGTAGGATGGTCCTGGTTGAGCCAGTGCCCCACCAGAGTGTGGGGGCCCCCACCCGTGCTGCTGGAAGGGGGGGCGGGCAGCCTGGTAGGTGGCCTGGAGGGTCGCCGGGGACCAGACCCAGGTGCCCTGGCCACCATCAGGGTTGGCAACCTCCGCATGCCAGACCCATTGGCCATCACCTGCAAGGGGCAGGGAACCCGTGAGTGTGAGGCTAGAATGGATGGTATTGGAAAGCTAGCACACTGACGTACGGCTTGGGACAGGGACGCCGAGGCAGTGGCGAGGAGCAGGGCTGGCCATCCAGATGAACCCGTCCTCAAGTGCAAACAGCATGACAACAAGAAAGCTGCCCTACTTTGGGAACCCTGGGTCAGCCCAGGCTGTGGCGGACCCTGGAAAGCCTGGGAGTCACCGCTGGGAGCCACGGGGATGTTCCTGTGTGGTGGTGGGATCAGAAGCTTGGGACCTGGAGGTGCAATGGCGCGTGGAGTTGCAGAGGAGGTCATGGACGGCGCGATCCCTGAGCAAGGCTGCAAGTGTGTTCGACCCCAAACCTGCAATGCCCCGCACCCGCTCAGATCCAAGCGTTGCCGTTTCTGTTGCCCATCTGGGCCCATCGCAGGACCAGCAGACGCATAGTAGGCATTATGCATCGTCCTCCGCTTCTGCCCTGCATCGATTTTATTTGTTGCAGGGACGGGCTGATGGAAAGACAACCGGGTGCTAGGGTACACAAACGGACGATCCAGGCCAGTCATGCAGCCGCGTGCCTCAGACACTGACAGTGAGGAGATTGCAGATGGTCACCCCATGGCTCCATCCGGGCTTGCAGGCTCACCCTCTCAAGCGCGTCACGAAGGTCTGGGCAATGTACCCTCGGGGCTACGCAGCAGTGGCGCCGTTACAGGGAGTGGTCGACAGGAAATGATCGGCTTCGTGGTCCAGGCAGAGGTGGGCTGGGATTGGGCGGTAGGGGCAGGGTGCTGTCTCAGTCGACACGCCCATGATACCCGACGAGCCAGGCAACCCTCCTTTCAATAACTCATAAATAGGTATATAATGCACGTAATGGGCTGTGGAGGAGCTCGGCGACACCAAACCAGGCTAGACATGGTCGATCGAACTCCGACGCTGCAGGTGCTCGCACCTGTGCAACTGGAATGGACTAGGGCGGCTGTAGACAAGCCCCAAACGCGCCAGGCCGAGTGTAATGAACAGAAGGGTGTAGAGAACGTGAATAGAGGGCACTGATCGCATGCGTGGGATCCAACCTGTCGCGTGACGAGGTCGGCTTCCCAAGGATCCCATTCCTCAGCCTTTCTTTTCAAAAATGAGGCCTCCGACAGAGGAGGCCCCTCTGTATGATCACTCTCCATCAAGAATAGGGTAGCGGTAAACTTCGTATGATGTCCGGATAGCTTCGAATTCCAGCGCATGTTAGGTGCACGGGAGGTCCCTGTGCTGATACGGCGCCAATGCGCAGAATATGACGCAGCAAGTCATGGTGCAGCTGCTTGTCTTGCCCATATAGAGTGACATTTGGCACACCAAGGCACTATAGACAGCCCTGTCTTTCAGAAAGAATTAACGGAAGCTTGCAATTCTTGTACAATGTCGGATCATGAAGGTACCCAGCATATTGACGTGAATGTTAGATCCCATCCAGCATCCTGCCCAGGACCCTCAAGCAGGCTAGGATTGCAGATGCTGCCTAATCATGTGTCATTGGCTGATAATATGTTGTGGCAAGTGTGTGGGCAAATATTAGAATGTGCCAGGCGGGTCCTGTTCAACCACAACAAAACAACAGAGTTCGAGATTCGACCCCGGAAGGCCCTTCTTGAAGAAGGTGCGTTTTCAAGCTCTTGTTCCCAAACGGCCGTTCAGCACATCCCATTTCGTCCTGTTCAGCACTCGTGTATCCAAGAGATAAACTACCGAGCGCTCGCTCCTTTCTGGTCTACCGTGAATGTCCTTGGCCAGAAAGTTGAGAGGGATGGACGCGCCCTCCGGGACGCAGGCCTCCGTGCCTCGCAAGCCCCGGCGGAAACGCGGTAGTAATAAAAACGGTAAGCAAGCCTCTTACCGTGCAGGCTTGAACCTACAGCCTCGAAATGCGCAGTACAAGCGAACGTCTCAACAGCCTCCGCAACAGGGCTCTCAGCAGCTCGGCTTCTTCGGGAGCGTGCCCTCCCTGCAAGATCTGCGGCGTGAGAACCGACGCAACACCCGTCGACACTACCGAGCACATGGTAGGCAGGGGGACAGCACCGTGTGGTGGCCCTGTTATGTTCCCTTTACCCTGGCTCATTCCCTCGGTTCGGGGACACTCCCAGGCAACTCTCGAGGCCAGGCCCTCCTACCCAGCGGAGGAAATGCTGTTCCCCTGCCAGCACCCCTAAGTGTGCCGCCGGCGCCCTTCAACTCCACCCGCCAAGCTCTAGCATGTAGGCCTTGTGGTGTGGATTATTCTGCAGAATGAGACGGATCACATGTGGGCTTGCCTGCTGCCTGCATGTGCTTGTGATGATCAGATATACTGCACCCTTTTGTCGTCACTTATACCTCTCCCATCTCTCCCATTTGTAGCAACTTTGAATCCCTTGGCAACACCAGCCCTGGAGCCCTTCAAGGGGGGCGGCCATGGCACCATGTTCGATGCCTCCGGCGTGAATTTTTACGGAAGCAATGAGGGCCTGGTCCTCCCCATGGATGTCTTCCCCACCAGCTCTGGCTCCTCTTCCGACGACAGCGAGGTGGCAGGTGCTAGGCATGACTGCGTCTCCACCCACTCTCCGGGTCCTTCGGGCCAACACAGCATTCACCTGCCAGGTGCGGGCCACGAGGCACCTCCGCCTGAGCGTGAGGCATACATAGATCGCCTTGAGGACGAGAATCTAAGGTAATTTATTTGGAATGGGAGTGTGTGGGTTTGCTTATGTTTTTGATGGACCTTCTTGTGTTCTTTGGAGATTGAAGTGAGGTTGGGTATGTGGAGGTCTAGGATGTCTACTTTGTTTGGGGGAATGCACCCACAGCAAGGTTTGGAGGCATGCCTTCTGGTCATGGAGTAACCTCACATGAATTCACAGCAAGCTTGAACCTGTGTGCAGGCTGAAGGAGCGATTGGAGCTGATGGCCCAGGAGCTGGAAGAGCTGCGCCGTGCGGCTGGCGGCGGCAAATCAGCGGGCGATTCTATGGCGAGCCCCAGCCAGTCTGGGGCCAGTCATGACAACGAGAGCGATGCTGGCGAGGTGACAGGGCACTCCAAGTCTGTCGGTGTTCCCGTGTCGGCAGGAGGCGCGCCGACTTCCAATGAAGAGGGTGCAATCACGGAACCGATTTCAAGTAACAGCAAGGTCGATTGATTGCTCGAAGTCTTTCCTTGTGGCTTGTCTTCCTGGCTCGCCAACCCCTGCAGTTTTCCGTGATGGGGTGTGGTTGTGGCTCCCTACTTGTCGCCTCCCCGAGGTGGAGCATGGAGCGCCTGCATGGCAGCCTGCGTCTTCCCCTAGGTCCTCGTGTTGGTGAGCAGACCCAGAGTTGGCAGTGGATCGTCCGGGGAGTTTTGCATCCTGGTGTTCCTGGCCTCATGCAACGCTCCTCAGACATTTGACCTAATCATGTCCTCAGTGAACAGCGTGGCCAGGCCTGATCTGATGCGGGTGAGCTCAGTAGGCGGCAGCGGGGCCGAGCCCTCTATGTGTACTCTTGCCCTGTAATCACAGCTATGCAGCTCTATGACTCTCTTTCTCTGAGCATGCCATTTGCTGCACTGTAATGTATTTGGCCCTTGCCTCGGGTTTTGAAGGGGGTTGAAGCCAGGGGGAGGGACCTGTCACGAATGCTTGCGTGCTGTGAAGAGCCAAGGGTATGGTCAGTTGCCCAGGAGGCTAGCTGGGGGTGGGAGACGTACCTTGACAGGTCGGGAGCAGCACACCTATGCAGGACGAGAGGAGCGTCATGCCGTCGAGCCATGCACTGCAAGGTCACGACCTTGTCATCAGGGTCATAATCGGGCTCCACCGGCGCGCGGAGCCACGCTCTCAGTAGGCCCGCTCAGGCTGCCCCCGGCTCCAGAGCGAGGAGAAACCCCCGGTCCTCGTCCGCTTCAAAGCCCTGCGGCTCCCCCGGTCCCGCCTCCCAGCTGGCCGCCGCCACCAGGGCGTCGGTGCCAGGGGCCACGATCGCGTGCGCTTCGCCCGTGAGCGCATCGACGCGGTATCCCGCCCCCGCCGCCACGCCCACGCAGGGCACCGCCGAGCGCTGCGCCTCTCGGTGCAGGCCGCGCCAGCCGCCGTCCGCCTCGCCCGCGCATGCGCAGTACCAGGGCAGTACTCCGGCGGAGTGCAGGAGCGGTAGGGCTCCGCCCATGCCGGCCACCGCCGCGCCCCTGGCCAGCAGCGGCGCCAGCAGGGTCCGCAGGAGGAGGGGTGGGGGAGGTGTAAAGGGGGTTGAGGCGCGTGCACCGCTGGGCGAGGCTGACAGGTCTGGAGCTGGAACTCTGCCCATCGGGGTCGTCACGCCCATTGCCCCCGCGCCGCCCTCCGAGCCCTCGCCCGACTCAGCGGAGACAAGGACCAGAGCGTCTGCGCTCTCTAGCGCCGCCATTTCCTCATCCAGCAGCTCGACGCCTTGCACAATGCAGAGGTGTGCCCCCGGCCGCAGGACCCGCACGGCCTGGGCCGCGGCGGCCGCGCCGACTGGCAGGCCCCGGCCCCGGCCCAGGTCCCAGAATACTAAGGTCTGGCGTCTGGCAACATCTGCACTGCATGCCCCCTCGCCCTCCCCCTCCCGCAGGTCCTGGGTCAGTGCCTCGTGGGCAAGCTGGGCGGCCAGAAGGCCCCCCAACGCGGCGCCGGAGATGGGATCGCTGGCGCTGCCAAAAAGCAACAGCAGCCCGGGCCTCGCCGCGACGCGCACGCTGCCGGGTCTCAGCCTCAGCGCCGGGTAGCGCAGGCAGGCCCTCAGGTCGCCTGGCGGCGCGCCCCAAGGGTCGTCGTGGTCGAACAGGCCCTGGCCCCGGACGGTGCCCACCCAGGTGCCCCCCGCGCCGCCCGAGGCGAGCAGCTGGGGCAGGATGCGGGCGCATAGCGTGCGCGGCGCGCCAGAGGGGGTGGGAACCTCTACGGCTGCGAAAAACTGGGCGGCGGGGAGCAGGCCGCAAAAGGTCTCCAGGTCCTTGGGGCCTGGGTGTGGGGTGGGCGGCGTGGGAAAGGGTTCAGGGTTTGCAGCACAACCAGCAGAACGGGAGCACCTCATCCGGGATGAAGCAGTGCCCGCCCCTGCCCTGCACTTGAGAGGTCATTCACCCCTCACCTGAGCGCCTGAACCTGGGGTGGGGCTCCGCCGCCAGTGTGACCAGCAAGTCTCCGGGCTGCGTGTCCACCGTCTCGTCGCCCTCGCTCTCAAAGGTCAGGACGTCCCCCTGGTGCGAGCCCTTCCTGTCGCAGGGCAAAGAGATTGAGCGGGGGAGTTCATGGGGAGGGGGGGGTGGGAGCCTGGCCAAGCGTTCTCGGCTGGTGAGTGCGGAGCATGAAACAGTGACATTTCAAGCACCAGACTGCTGCAGGATGAGGAATGTCTTGCCCTGCTCCTGGGTGGCAGGAGGAGACCCAAGTCCCTCTGAACCCCCCCCCCTTTCTTTGTCTCTTGACCCAGCGCCCTGCGAGTCCGCACCTGATGACAAGGTAGAAGCTCCGGGTGGAGCTGTACTCGATGCCGTGGTCGTCCACCCGCCGGCGAGAGAAGGTCACCGTCTTCATGCACCCGGAGTTGAGCTGCTCGAGGGGCAGGGCCACGCTGCGTGCGCTGGGCGCGTGCTTGATGTGCTTGGTGCCCAGCCGCCGCAGGCGCGCCAGCTCAGCGGCCCCGGAGGCCATCATGGCAGCCTCCTCCCGGCTCAGGAGGGGTAGGCCCCGCCCGGGGTTGGCGCCCTGCAGGTGTGAGAAATGTATTTGGGGCATAGGATCAGCTAGTTCCGTAAAGAAGAGTTTAGAATGAGACGAACAGAATCAGATACTTCGATCGGCTGGACTCAGGAGGTACACCTCGATCACATCGCCATAGATATCCATCAGCGGCCCAACAAAACCGACCTGGTAGTCCCTGACTTTGTCATACAGGGCTCGCGAGCGCTCGTCGGAAAGCACCTCGAATGCCTCGGCGGCCTCCCGGAACTTGTCGGCAATGGCGGCCTGTGTGTGAAAGCAGGGTGTCGAGATTGGTCTGACTGCCTTCCCTCCCCACTCGGCAAACTCGCGGCCACTAAGCGGCCAGCGCAAGGAGCGCCACCTGGGTGCCAGCATTCGAATCGATGAGAAGCACAGCTGTCCCTCACACTGCCAATGCATCACCACCTTCCTTTCCAAGCCCCACCTGCTGCTCAGCGTCCTCGGCCTTGTGCTTGTCTGGGTGGTACAGCAGGGCCAGCTTCTTGTAAGCCGCCTTGATCTCCGCCACTGCGGCACAGCTGCATTTAAGGTGCCAAACACAGTGATTGGCTATTTAAAGGAGGTACAAAGGATCACATCTGCATGCACAGAGCAGCTTCAATTCTCCCAGCGTGACTGGACATGACATTCGCGCTGCATGCAGATTCTGTCTGCCACATACACACATCCCGGGTGAGGATGGCGGTCTCAGCTCACCTTTCGATCCCCAGCGTGGCATAGTAATCTCTCTGGGCATCGACCTTCCTCCCGACCGCCTCTACCTCGTCAGCAGCCTGAGTGTGGGGATGGGAGGAGCAGCACTGAACAAGAGCCTGGCTTGAGAGCGCTCACATGCCCCCCACCCTCCCAAACCCACAGACTACCCCTGTACATCCTTCCCCTCACCCTGGCTGGAATGCTTTCTGAGGCGCCAGGTTTGTAGTTGGCACCTTCCCGTTTTGCACGCTCTGCTTCCCTCTTGGCAGCCAGCAACCTACGTTATGAACGGCGTGGATTTGGGACTTGTTATGAGTAGATTGGGTAGCATGGAGTACACCCGTAGCAAGCGAATAAACTCACAGTCTAATGCTGACAACCCCAGGCATACCACCCACCTTTGCTCTTCAGCCTTGGCCTTCATGTCGGCAAGCATCTTCTGGAACGCCACTGGATCGGTGATCTGGAGGGAGAGGAACGGGAAGAACACATTCAAGATAAAATTACAGAGTGGACCATGTCAAAGGACAGGAGACGATGGAGTTTCTCAGCCTCCATCCCATGGGACACCTTGAGGGGCCCATGCGCCTTGCCGGAGTGCTGCCCATGGGCGTGCTCCGACAAGACAAGGCCTCCTCCTGTATCGGACCTGCATGAGCATGTGAATATATCATGAGGCTCCATTACAAGGATGCTCTCGCATTCTCAAAGCAGGTACGCACCTGGTCGCGGCCAACTCCATTGTGCCTGGTCGCTGTAGGGTGCGAATCCGCTCGCCAGAATTAAAGCTCGCCCTTGGGAAGCACCGTCTCTCCCTGTCACCCCTGTCGATGCTGAAATATTGGTCACATCTTGCTCGCCTCCTCGCTGTGCATGCCCAGGAGAGGACTCCAAGGCAACGAGCGCTGGTGCTGCGCGTGCGACGCTCGGCCTCTGCCACCAACTGCCAGAAATCAGGCCTTGCGGTTGTCCCCAAGCATTGCGCGGCCATTCCCCTGGAATTTATCGCAGACAGGATTACAGTGAAAACACACACACACTCAATTGGGAACCAGGATGGACAAAGCAAGTGAAATAAGGGGGGTGCACAACACCTGTGCAGGCAGAGTGAAGTGCCACCAAGGGCACAGTCATGGCAGGTTCATCTCTCAAGTGGGATTAGTATTGGGGGCAGTCAAGTGTGGGAATCGTGTATTGATGGTGTGTATGGGGCACTGGGCCCATTTAGGAGGGAGGCACGGCAGGTTTGAGGACCCGTGTTATTTGAGGCATGAGCAGGAGAACGAGAGCATATTCCTGGAAAGCGAGAACATGGGGGGGGAGGGGTGCGGTGACCGCTCTGACCCGCCCAGTCCTTGCCGAGGGGTGCCACCAGGAGGTTGCTAAACCTCCGCCTAATCTACGTCTACTGGCATGCTGCGCATCCAAGGGGCGGGTGGGTCGAAGGGGGGCTGGGGATGCCCCCAGCGCATCCCCACCACGCCAGGTCTGTGCCTGCTTGTATGTCAAGTGGGGACGCACGCGAGCGGGGGGGGGCCCTCCGCCGCGTCGCGCACGGTCTCACCCGGGCCCCCCTGGCGCCGCGGCTCGGCCCGGGGGACGCGGTGCCCGCGCCCCGCCCTCACGCTGCGCCCGAGCACGCGCTCGAGCCTGGCGCCGGCGCAGCGCAGGACCGCGCCGCAGGCGCGGGTGTAGTTGTCCGGGTTGTGGAAGCGGGAGATGCTGCCGGCGTGACCGTAGGCCGCCGGGTCCGCCAGCGTGTCCAGCGGATGGGTGTCGTTCATGAAGGCCCACACCGCGTTTGCCAGGGAGTCCGGCCGGGTGCAGGGCTTGGTGCTGGGTGCGGTGGACGAGGGTGCAGGGCCAGCACGGGCGGTCGCCCCCCGCGTACCACCGCCGGGCGCCACGAAGCGGAAGAGGCCGGGCGCGGCCGGCAGGAGCGGGTGGTAGCCCTCGCGCGCCGTGAAACGCAGCTCCGCCGGCGGCTGCAGCACGTACAGGCGCCCCACGTGGCGGTACATGGCCTGGTTGAGTGTTTGAGTGGGGGTGAGGGAGGGTCATCAGGGGCGTGTGGGTGGGGGAGGGGGGCACAGAGATGGATCAGGCTTGGGCAGCGTACAGGCAATGCCGTGGAGAGGAGGGGCCTCGGCGGCGGCGGTGGGCTCGTGTGGGCCGCCGGCGGGCGGTGTTGAGCAGTTGCCGCGCCGCGTCGATGAGCCTCCCCGTGCACCGTTTGCCCGGCCCGCCGACCGACCCTCTCGCCCACATGCTCTTGCCCCATGAGGGCCACAACGCCCACCCCCCTCTGGCCCCCTCCCAGGCGCGCTCACCTGGCGTCCGGCGCCCGGCGCCAGCCCGCCGTGGCCCCGGAAGGCGGCGGAGAGGCGCCGCAGGACCTCGGCCAGGGGCGCGTAGTCGCAGGCAAAGGCACGGGGCACGATGTCGCGGTGCATGGTGACGCCGCGCACGGCGCCCTCGTCCAGGCCCAGCGCGCACAGCAGGCCGTCGTTTGTGCCGTCGTGCAGCACCGCGGGTGCGCCAAAGGTGTAGACCGGCGCCAGGTGGCGCGGCGCCAGCTCGCCGCGCGCCACCAGCATCAGCGACAGCACCACGCCCACGCTGCCGCCCAGCGAGTGCCCCGTGAAGGCGAGGCGGCGTGGCGGCGCGCCGGGCGAGTCTGTCGCCGCTGCCATCACGTGCTCGCGCACGAGGGGTAGGAAGACGGGGTACAGCGCGCACGCCAGCTCGTAGACGCCGCGGTGGACCTGGGTGCCCAGCTCGGCGCCCTCGAAGGGCACGGGGTCAAAGGTCAGGTTCACGCGCCAGTGGTCCAGGGTGTCCGACCCCTGCAGCACGACGTAGCGCACCCCCGTACGCGCGCAGTCGGCCACGTACCACTCCATGGAGGAGGAGGCGGAGGGGGGGGGGGTGCTGGGGTGGCATCTCGCGCTGCGCTGGGGCCACCACGGCGGACCCCGGGCCGGACCGGGGTTCCATGCTGTCACCAGACCCCTGGGGCCTCACAGCACGAGAGCCTAGCCAGGGCACGCTGCGCAAGGAGAATGCCGAGATGTTGTTGGTCAGGGGCCCGGCCGCGGCGGCCGCCGCGGCCGCCGCGGCGGCGCGCGCCGCCGCCAGGCTGGTGCCCACGCGGTCGATGCCGGGGCGGGTGGCCGTGTCGGTTGAACCCGCGGCCCCGCCTGGTGTGGCATCCTCCCCCTCGTGCTCGGCCTCCCGGGGCGCAAGCGCCGCGCAGCGCTGTCGCACCAGCGCCGGCTCAGGGGCCATCGCGTCGGAGTCGCCGGCGGCCGCGAGCGCCTGGCCGCCGGGCGTGGCCAGCGCCGCAGCGCAGGCCGTGGAGGTGGCCACCAGGGTGAGGCCGTGCCTGCGGGCCAGCCAACCCGGCTTCCAGGCCGACAGCCCGTAGCTCAGGGCCGACAGGCTGCTCAGCAGGCGCACGTAGCGCAGCTCCAGCAGGCTTGCGGGCCGCAGCGCGGAGGACAGGTCCGCCTGGGCCCCGCCCACCTGGCTCGTGTCGATCTGGGGGGGGGCGAGGTGCGTTGGCCGGGCTAAGTACACGCCGGGGCGGGGCTCGACCAATCTGTCACCCAGGTTCTGCACGGGTCCCCACCGCACCTGCAACGCCCGCTCCACGGTCTCCTGGGCCAGCTGGTGCATGTCGACGACGTCAGGCAGAGGTTTGGAGCTATTCGGCCACACGCTCTGCAGCAGGTTGCCGGGGAACCCCGGCCGGGGTGCGCGTGCGGCTGCTTGCCGGGGCAGGTGTTCCGCAGGCCTGGCCGGCAGGTGGGTGCGCGGTGCTGGCTTCGTCACAGCCGAGACCTTGACCACACATCTCGAGAATATGGGAGAGACCATGCGACGCGGCCCGGGCCCGACCGGGCCTGATGTCGGAAGTTGGGATACCTTGGTGGGCGACGGCCCCATGTCAGGCGCTGTGCATGGTCGAGGCTGGAGCCGGGAAAACAATCTAGTACAAACACAAACACCCTCCAGGGGACGGGGAGTGAATGTGTGAGCCATCCGCCCGACACCGCGTGGGAAGGCTGGTTTCGCCCCACCCACCAGTGCAGTGCCTTGTTCCGATCAGTCTCGGTGAGGAGCCACGTGTCCTCTGACAGAGTTACAGAACAGTCACGGGTAGGAACATGTCTTCGGGCATTCGGGGGAGTTGTATTCGACAGAGCACAGGATTACGTTGCGTACTGAAACAATGGTTCCAAGGCCGGCGAGTGGGGATTCGGGGTTGTCCCCGCTCCATCGGACATCCTGAAGGGCGTTCGAGGTTGGGCTGACAGCCTCCCCTCCCTTGGCCTCAGACTGCGGCCTTCTGCTTGAGGGGCCCCGTGGAGCTCTCTGACTCCCGCTCGTCCTGCATGGCCAGCGCGTTCTGGGTGGCCAGGAACTGGCCCGAGGCCGAGACCCTCAGCCTGGCACTCTCGCGGCGCAGCTGGACCTCCCGCACCAGGCCCACCAGCAGGATGAGGCCCAGGACGCCCGAGTAGGTGGCGTAGGGCCACACACCTAAGTCGTACACCCTGATGTAGCCACTGCGGGGTCAGAGGAGTTGGTGGGATGGGAAGGGGGG